GAGCTAGGATTACAAACGTACACCACCACACTTGGCTAATATTTTGTATTTTTAGTAGAGGGGGGGGTTTCACTATTTTGACCAGACTGGTCTTGTACTCCTGACCTCGTGGTCTGCCCGCCTTGGCCTCACAAAGTGCTGGGATTATAGGCTTGAACCACCGCGCCCAGCCGTACTGTTTAAACTTTAGTCTGTCATTTTTATGTGATTAAGAAGGGTTCCTAAGAATACTTAATCTACCCTATTGCTGGAATTTTGTGAATTCATATGTTGATGCAAAGATCTGACTATTCATCAAGTGTTTATTGGTTATCTATAGTGAATCAGTTTCTGTGCATCGATCTGGTGATACAACATCAAAAAGGAAACATTTAAGGTAACACTTTGTGGGGACACAGACAATAAACACCACATAGGTGAATGGTTACTACTCCAACCACATCTGAGAACAAGATAATAGAATCTATTGAGGAAAATTCCACATAAGATCCCAGGAAGGAAAACAGATCCTTCCACATAAGATCCCAGGAAGGTAGGTGTATGATTCTTATGAACTTCGGACTGCTCCATTAAACCAACTGACTTTCAATACATAGCAAGGGTATTTGCATTCAGTAAAAACCCCAGTAGGAGCCCAGGAATACCAAAAGTCAACTGAGTTATTTGTCACAAAGAAAAACACCTAGTCACTGCATTAATGTTGCAACGGGAGAAATCACATCAGATTCCACATCACCATTATGGGATGGTCTTTTAGTGGTTGCAGAGTGCTCTTTTTACTGTATTACTTTTCTCTGAAATTACATCTTAGATGCCAAGCATTATACTACATTCTGGAATGACAAAACACCTTCACCATAAGAGGTGTTCAGATCAGGGTGCCACATGTAGTGAAATAAAGAGAGTGTAATTAGTATGAGAATAAAGATGTGCCCAACATGCTGAGGGAGCGTCCTCTTTTCAAGGTCAGGAGGCCAGGTCACTAATCTATCTCTTTAAAAATTATTATCATTAAAAGAAGTTTTTTTGTGCATGTTATTTTCTCCTTAATATAAAAGAAAGACGTGTTCTCTAGAATCATTGACAGTCAAAAGGGAGACAGTACAAATCACCTGACACTCATTTCTAACAGAGGTCTAGGTTTGGTTTGGGATTACTCACTTTAAAGAAAGAGAGTAACTAAAAACGAAACCAACCAACCAACAAACAAAAAACTGGTGAGTAGATCTTTAGTAAGTCTCTAGTTTTGTTCTAGTTTGCCTCAGCACATTGTTTTTTAACCTGTTTTGCATTATGTAGATTGCAAGGACAGGCAATCAGTATTCATAGAAAAACTAGTATTGGCCGGGCGTGGTGGCTCATGCCTGTAATCCCAGCACTTTGGGAGGTTGAGGCAGGAGGGTCATTTGTGGTCAGGAGTTTGAGACCAGCCTGGCCAACACGGTGAAACCCCGTCTCTTCTAAAATAAAAATTAGCCAGGTGTGGTGGTACATGCTTGTAATCCCAGCTACTTGGGAGGCTGAGGCAGGAGAATTGCTTGAACCTGGGAGATGGAGATTGCAGTGAGCCAAGATGATGCCACTGCAATCTCCAGCCTGCATGACAGAGCCAGACTCTGTCTCAAAAACAAAAAAGAAATACTAGTATTAACTGTGGGTTTCTATAAACTCTTGGCTGTTTTCTAAGTTTTTCTTCAGTGTTATTTCATGTATTCCCTTTCTTCAAAAGGTCATGAACTTTGATTATGTGAATCTGGATTCCTACATAACAATGATTGTGAGTTTGTGGTTTTTGTGAAAAAGAGATTCTTAAAATTATTATTAAAAGGCTTGTACATTTAAAGTAATGTAAGTTTAGTCAACTATTTTCTGGAAATTCTGAGAGCGTTACATTTAAATAATGCTTATTTCTACGAACCAATCAGAAACAGATTGTTTATTTTGAGAGATTCACATTAATTTATTAATATGCTCTGAAGGTAGGAGAATATTTCACATTCAAAGTGAAAGGTAAGGACTTTTCTTTCCTCAGTGCAGATACACAGAGTGTGTTCAGCTTCTGTCCTGCAACTGTAGCCATATTCAAATGTAGACACAGGAATGCGAAACCCACTGGTTTTATGCCAAGGAGCTGTTCTTTCCAGTGGACCCAAGACATGTTCTTCTGTGGTTTTTTTTTTTTTTTTTCTGAGACAGTCTTGCTCTTATCACCCAGGCTGGAGTGCAATGGCGCCATCTCAGCTCACTGCAACCTCCTCCTCCTGGGTTCAAGCGATTCTCCTGCCTCAGCTTCAGCCTCTCGAGTAGCTGGGACTACAGGTGTGTGCCACCACACCCGGCTAATTTTTTGTATTTTTAGTAGAGACGAGGTTTCACCATGTTAGCCAGGATGGTCTCAATCTCCTGACCATGTGATCTGCCCACCTGGGCCTTTCAAAGTGCTGGGATTACAGGCATGAGCCATCACACCCGGCCTCCCAGACATGTTCTTGTACAAAAACACAGACAGGCAAACAAAAAGACTAACAAACACATTCTCTGTTGTCTGCCAACCAGTTGAGACTAGATCTTATAGAACCAGTATATTATAGATTCTCATCCCAACTAATAACTCTCAATGGTCTGACCGTAAAACCAAACTCCATTTATTTCTACTATCAGTGAGGAATTACAAGTACATATCAGAACCAAATTTGGTCTCATATCAGAAACAAAATCATAGAAGTAGAAATAAAAATCAGAGGAACTGTCAAAAAGGCAAAGTTCTCTTGCCACTTGGAATTAACCATGGGTGCCAAAAAATCATGTAAATGGGCTTGAACAGCTCATGAATTGCATCTCTGAGCCATCACAATTTAATTGGTTCTGGTAGGTGAGTCTGCTTGAGCATCTCAGTGGGACCTCCAAAACTGTTCAAAGTATAATTTAAGAAAAAATTAAAACGTGACTGAAAATTATGCAAAATGTGCAGGTGCCAAGTATTTATTTAACTGATTAATGAGGGAACCAACAAGACGGTAAGCCTGGTTCAGAGAGAGTTGAAGAGAGTGAAGTGTTTACAGTTGCTGAAAGAAAGAGTGCTTAAGATTCCAACTTAGAGACAAAACTGGTTAATGTCCTATAGGGCAATAAAACTGTACCCTTTGGAGTTATCTTTTTTACAGGACTAAAATCATTTGCATCTCTACCAGACAAAGTTAATATGCAATGACATTGAACAAGAATTATTTGCATCTCTGGCATTTTTCTAAGGTTAATAATGCATCAGGGAACCCAAACAGCGTGAGTGACAACCAGTTGTTTAGTCACTCAGCAAACAGTTCAGGGAGGCCTACGGTGTTCCCAGGACTGTTCTCAGAGTTAAGGATGCCACAGAGTTTGTTTTGTTCTCTACCCTCATGAAGGTCAAAATCACCTGATCTAGTTGCACATCCCTTGCTCCAGCTGCCTTTGCCACACCTTGGGAGAGCCTGGACCTGTGCATACCCTTCTCTCATGTGCAGCAGAAGGATGCCCCTGGTATCTGGCAATCCACACTCAGACTGTAGGGAGACCAGGACATGCTTATTCTATATTATTTTTCAAGAGTGTCTGTAGAAGCTAATAAAACAAGTCAGTTGTACAAATTTGTCTTAGATATAAAAAAATACCATTAAAGAGAATTCATCTCAATATTATTTCAAAACTTGGCTGTGTTTGTTCTGAGTATTGTCTTTGATATAGGATAACTTGGTTCTGAGGAAAAGGTTTACTGAAAAGAGTTCATTTGCCTTTACTCTTCATTTCACTCAGTTTTAAGTTTCTTCAGCTTAAAAGAATTAAAGAGACAAAGTGATCACATTTCTGTATTCTCCTATTCCCTAAGAAGTGTTTTGTATTTGGCATCTTCCATCATCACTCTTGCATTTTATAGATTTGGATGTTCTACAAATGTATATAGTTTCTGCTTTGGTTTGACATTATCTTAATAAAATATGGGTGTGTGCTTTCCTTGTTGACTCTCAAATAGTGTTTTCTATTTTGGAGAATTTATTACATGCCTGCTTTCTGTAATGGACCACTCATTGGCCACTTACTGAAGTGTATCCTGCCATTAGTGGTTTTGTCATATAAAGCATAATTGAATGTACTTTATTGAAATCCTGTAGCATAATTCAGTTATTCTGGTTTCTGTGGAGTGCTTGGTATATCGGCTCCTATTCTTTGTAGCAGCTTGAGTCTCACCATTGAGTTTGGCATGTTTTATTTCTCCCAGCGTTCTAGAAAATGTCTTCATTCTGTGAAGGTAATTTGATCATAGAGTTTAGTTCTACTTTAATTGTGTGTATGAACCAAATATTGATGTGCTGTATCGTTTGGTATGTGAATTGAATGAATATTTATGCAGATATAATTATTCATCATGAATATATCTCTTTTTGAAAATGTTAAAATGCATGTTGACCTCTTTTTGAAAATGTTAAAATGCGTGTTGACCATCTATAAATTGTAGATGAATACATTTTCAGTTAGAAAGTCTAGGTATTTCATGTATTTTTTAAAGAATAAAATCTGTAACTTCTACAATTGAAGAAAAAGTTTAAATAATTGTAGAATTAATACAATGGATAGTTTTTACTTTTACATTTATTGTAGAAATGTCTTTCATTTGAATTTTCTGGTTAATAACAAAATTAAGCTTCCACAATGTAAAGAATATAGAGAATGGACTTTCTCACCAGAGAAAGAAATGCTTTCTTTTAGGTTGGTCAGCAGTCTTAAAAACTTGCTTTTACATTGCTGTTTTTCTGCATTAGTGGGTTTATATCACAGTCACTTTTATATAATAACATAAGCATAAAAGTATACATTGTATTTGTTTTACAATCCTCTGATATGAATGACGTTTGAGAGTTCGGTATGGTCTAAATGTTTCCAGACTTATCTTTGGTGCTTTTTGTCATTGAAGGAATAGCACTGTACAAAAACATTTAACCCTTTCTCAAATTTTGCATCTTCAGAGGCAAGGAACTGCTCCACCTCCAATGAAACTGCCTCCTCCTTATAAAGCTCTACCTGATGACAGTGATGAAAATGAAGACGCCTTTACCGACCGTGAGTGCCTTTTCACTATTTAGGGTAGATGCAGAACTTATTAAATTATGTTTTAATGACTGTTGTAAATTATCAAATATAGGGCTGAGTTCTTCAAAAATGTGCGTGAACATAGGCTAAAAAAGAAAATCTATACCTTTCAAGCTTTTGTGGTCATTTCCTAAGCTTTTCCCTTTGACACTGAGAAAGGGAATATTGAAGGAAGCTATGTTGTACACTATTTTTCCTATATTTTCCTCTAATATTATTGTTTGGTTGTGAATACCAAAATGTTCCAGGTCCTTGAAATTAGAATTTGACCCATAATAATCTGGGTTGGATGTAGCTTTCAGCTGTTGATTACTTGTCTTATTCAAAGTGATGTTGCTAATGCAGAATTATTATATTTTGTCCTTTAAAATTCATTTCATGATTTTCTTTTGCATTAGCTGAATCAAATATACATTCATACATATATTTAATTGTGGCTATATTTAAAATAATTCGCATTTCTTTTATGTATGTATAGTATATACTATTGCTAATGTATACCATATTTCTTTTGGAGGTGATGAAATGTTCTAAAGTTAGATAGTGGTGATGGTTGTACAGTTTGTGAATATACTAAAAATCACTGACATATACAATGTACACGGGTGAATTTTATGGCATGTGAAACATATGTTTCCTTAACAGAATGTTTTTCCCATCTGCAATATAGAAAAGGAATTCAATATCAAAATTGAAAGAGTCAGAATTCTTACTGTAGCAGTTCCTAGAGTGTGACCTTAAATATTCCCTCTTCTATAAAAAGGGTACAATAATGATACCTACTTCATAGGGTTGTAATGAGGAGTAAAATGAAGAAATGAAGGCTTTAGCCTGCCACATAGTGAGTCTTTGATAAGTATTAAAGCTCCTATTATGGTTATAATAATCATTTATATTTTTTAATATAACAAATACATAAATAGAAATAACGTAAAATAAATGTAAATTTATAATAATTAAATTCATTTTATAAAAACTTGAATTGTACTTTGCAATTGTATGAAGGCCTTTCTCTTGTGTCATTTTCTTCATGTATTCAATAAATCTTTGTGGAATACCACCTGCGTTTTAGTAACAGTGTTGAGTCTGCTATGAAGTGAGTAACATCGCCCTCCTTTAGTTTTGACTGAGTCACCAGCCTGGAAGGGATAATGCGAAGGCATGGGAACAAAATCTGCCAAGTGTCCTGTGGGCTTTAGTTTTCAGCCTCTTTTTGGAGAGTTACACATGGTGTATACAGTGGATATGTGTGTGCATATGTGTAATATATTTCCTTGTTCTGATGTGGATATCAGGGCAGCTGCAGCAGAATGGAGCTGAGCTGTTGATTACTCACACTACTTTCTGGTTTGCCAGATGGCCAGTATTTACCCAGTTATTAGGAAACCTGTTTGAGGTGTGCACCTAAAACTATGTTTTAATCCTGGTTCTACTACTTGCTAGTTGTGAGTTTTTGGACAAGTTATTTAACATCTTCATGGTTCACCCTTGCTTATCTATATGGGGCTGAACGAGTATCTCATCATAATTTTTTCATAAGGTCGTTGTGACAAAGAGGAAAGAGCATTTGAAGAGTTTAGTATAGGCAGCGTGATACCTAGTAAATGCGCTGGGTTACCACGTACCAGGCATTGTTTTAAAGCCTTTATGTGTATTGTTAACTCAGTCAACATACTAACTTTGTAAGGTTCTAATTATACAAATAAAAGCTCAGAGAAATTACAGAATGTGTTCAAAGTCAAATAGCTAACGAATAGTAGGAATGGGGTTCAAACCCATGTACTCTGACTCCAGAGCCGATAACGTCATCAACACTTGCTGTTCCTTGAAACTCATTATGGTTGCAGAAATAGGTACAGCTGGGCACGGTGGCTCATGCCTGTAATCTCAGCACTGTGGGAGGCCAAGGCAGACTGATCACCTGAGGTCAGGAGTTCAAGACCAGCCTGATCAACATGATAAACTCCCTTCTCAAGAAAGAAAGAGAGAAAGAGAGAGAGAGAAAAAGGGAGAAAGAGGGAGAGAGGGAGGGAGAAAAGAAGGGTGGGAGAGAAGAGAAAAAAAAGAAAATAAAAGAAAAAGAAAAGAAGCCCAGGCGTGGTGACTCATGCCTGTAATCCCAGCACTTTGGGAGGCCAAGGCAAGTGGATCATGCGGTCAGGAATTTGAGACCAGCCTGGGCAACATAGTGAAACCCTGTCTCTACTAAAAATACAAACGTTAGCTAGGCATGGTAGGGCGCACCTGTAGTCACAGCTACTCAGGAGGCTGAGGCAGGAAAATCACTTGAACCTGTGAGGTGGAGGAGGTTGTGGTGAGCCAAGATTGCACCACTGCACTCCAGCCTGGGTAACAGAGCCATACTCCGTCTCCAAAAAAAAAAAAGAAAAAGAAATAGGAACAGAGTGATTTGGGGTTCTTGTGTAAATACCACTTTTTTTTTTTTTTTTTTTTTGAGATGGGGTTTCGCTCTTGTTACCCAGGCTGGAGTGCAATGGTGCGATCTCGGCTCACCGCAACCTCCGCCCCCTGGGTTCAGGCAATTCTCCTGCCTCAGCCTCCTGAGTAGCTGGGATTACAGGCATGTGCCACCATGCCCAGCTAATTTTTTTGCATTTTTAGTAGAGACGGGGTTTCACCATGTTGACCAGGATGGTCTCGATCTCTTGACCTCGTGATCCACCCTCTTAGGCCTCCCAAAGTGCTTGGGATTATAGGCGTGAGGTATTTACCGCGCCTGGCCGTAAATACCACTTTTATGCCTAAAATAGGCAGACTCAGCTGTGTCCTCCCCAAAGTTACAAGCTCATGTGCACAGGCACGTATACACAGCAGCAGTGGGGTCAGGAAGGACACTAATTTACCTTAAATGCAGAAAAAGATTTCTAATACTCAACCATTCTTGAGCTATAATATACATTTCACAGATTCTGTAGCAGACCTATTTTGGCATGTATATTACTTGTCATTCATTTTGCTACATAATTTTTTTCCTTCCCAGTGTCTAGGCCCTTCCCATAGACATCCCATTAAATTTACTGTTAACTTCTCCAAAAGAGTTTGAATTGTATGGAGGTATTTATTAGATAATTCACATTTGAAATGCACGTGAGCCTGAAGCCTCTGGCCTTCCTATATTTCCTTTTGAAATAGATCCCGTGGGTTTTTCTTTCTTTCTTGACTCATGTTAAATGAACACTGCTCATCTGTTCTAAACTAAAAGTATTTGGGGTTGCTGTTTTATTAAATTCTTGTCTGAAGACTAAGTCTTTATTTTCACAGTGATAAAAGTAAGACTACATAACTTTCCCAAGGACCATGATTCTGAAGCAGATGGCTGCAATTTAAATTGTAGGCCTACAGGGAAGTGCTGATTTTGTTAGAGGGATCAGAGAGTTGAGATGTACATGGGTTTTATTTGTCGTCGTTGTTTTTTTTTTGAGATGGGGTCTTGCTCTGTCACCCAGGCTGGAGTGCATTGGCACAGTCATGGCTCACTGAAGCCTCAGTTTCTCAAGTAGCTGGTACTACAGGCATGTGCCACCAGGACTGGCTAATTTTTTTTGCCGTGGCTTTCAAACTTCATTGTGCATCAGGAGGTTCTGGAAAGCTGGTTAAATAGTAATTGACAGTCATGGTCATTTCCTGCCCCCTAACCTCAGCCCCGGCCATTTCTGATTGCTTAAGCCTAGACGTGATCATTTGCATTTATAATTAGTTTCCAAGTGATGCTGGTATTATATTTCTGATCCAGAGACCACACTCCAATCGAAATGGTGTTTAAAAGCCACGGGAGCCCACAAGTTTACTTAGGAATAGTGTGTAGACAGCAATAAAAAGCAAACCCAGCACCTACCCCAGGAGCCAGCAAGAAGCACTCTAGCATAAGAACATTTCCAGGAGATTAGGGGGTTATGTTGTTTATGAGGGAAAGATGTTTCAAGAAGGCTGTCACTCACCTTCAGTGGTCAAGGGTGGAATGCTTCTAAGAAGTTGAGGAGGCTGGAGACATGAAAATAACCATTGAATTTAACAAGAAGAAATTGATGAGGAAGAAGAGAAAGAGGATACTTGATAAAATAACTGTAGTATGCGGGGTGCAGGGACTCACCCCTGCAATCTCAGCACTTTGGGAGGCCAAGGTGAGCAGATCACTTGAGGTTAGAAGTTTGAGACCAGGCTGGCCAACATGGTGAAACCCTGTCTCTACTAAAAATACAAAAGTTATCCAGGTATGGTGGCACACACCTGTAGTCCCAACTACTAGGGATGCTGAGGCACAAGAATCGCTTGAACCTGGGAGGCAAAGGTTGCAGTGAGCCAAGATCACGCCCCTGCACTCCAACCTGGGCAACAGAGTGAGGCTCTGTCCCCGCTTCCCCTCCAAAATAATAAGCATAGTAATTACCATTTAGATTATTGTGAAACGTAAATGTTACAACCAATATAGAGAGTGTGGCATGTAATGGGCATTTATATTTTTGATCACTGATCTTGCAAAGTTGAACATATTTTATGACATTCCGGTGTCTAATTATCATAAGAAGTCTTACAACCATTAATTGAACCACAGATGCTTAAACTTTAAGAATTAGGAAAAAATTAAGAAACAATATACTGCTTCAATGCCTAGCTCGTGGCAAAACCACCATTATCAAAGGTTGCAGGAATTGCCAAAGGTACAGGAACTTTTGACTTACTTTGTGGAAATGGCCTTTCATACCTAGAATTACAATCAGATTGTTTGTCAAGAATTCAAGATCACTGAGAGCATGAAGAGATCACTCAGTTCACTGTTCTGTGGTGACGTGAAAGTGTTTCTAACTTTAATCCTTCTTTGATCTTGTGACCCAAATTTTCAGTCAGCTCTTGGGAAGATGCCATGTCTTTTTTTCACTAGCACTTTCAATTTTCCAACCAAAATAAAATATTGTGTCTTCTCCAAAGTGGACCTTTTACCTCCTATTCTG